TTCATATGCATTCGAAAACTTGAAAAAACGATTATTTTCCAACGTAATTTTATTAGTGCTGCTTTATTTACTCGGTGGTTTTGCATGAACGGGCTTCCTCTTCATGTAAAACTTAAGTTTACCTAGTACGCCCCGATTTCAACTTTGTTAAAAAAGCTGGTATTTCTATAAAACGTTATACTCCTTCATAAATAATTGTTAAAAAAGCTGGTGTTTCTAGAAAACGTTATATTCCTTCATAAATCATAATCTAAAAAAGCTGGTGTCTCTATGAAACGTTATATTCCTTCATAAATCATAATATGTTCTATTGTGAAGAACGATCATAACTTTATTGCAGTAAGACTTTGGGGGCCACAGCCTGGCTGTGTTTGATTCAGAGGGGATTACTTGTAAAATTCGTTGGATTTCATAAGATAGTGCATCTACTGTATGCTGAGATGCAAGAATCGAACTTCCACTTCTTGTCACCGATAATGACAAAATAGTTGCATCACGGCGGCCATTAAATTAAACGCAATTGTCTGTAGAGAATGAGTTGTGTTTTCTGGTGGCATACATTTGAATGGGTGTGCTTCAGTGTGCCACTTAAACTGTTCAAGATTTAGTGCTTTCGAACAGATAGACTTGGATTGGGTGTCCTTTGAGTTGTTTAAACGTAATTGTCTTACGAGCAGAGGTTGTATTTGCTATTGGCATCCCCTTGACTGGGTGTGGTTGAAAGTGTCACAAAAAGTCACGTGGTTTAGTGTTTTCGAATAAAACGCATGTGAAGTAATGTTCTTTGCGTTTTTTTAAACGCAAATATCCGTAGAGCAATGGTTGTATTTGCTGTTATCATCCATTGGTATGCAAGTGCCTTAAAATGCCACTGCAAAGTCTTGAGGTTTGGTGCTTTAAAATAGAAACAACTAGACATATAGTCTTTTATTTTACTAAAACATTAAGGTGTGCTTAGAATTGTCTGAATTATTTGCAGATGGATATAGTTTCCCCGGTTTTAACTGTGGAGTTCACGTTTGCTCTTTTTTGTTGGAAGGAGCATACATAACTCCTATGGGTACGGAGCTCTGAGCGCTATAAATAAACTAACCCCAGGAAGTTAATTTGGTGAACGTTAACAGTGCAGTCATTAGACTTTTTGCATACTCTCTGGAGGTCACCGCAAAGTGAATAATATGTCGATCTAATTATATACAGTCTTTTCAATAATCGTAGATTATGAGTGCTTTGAACGTTTTGGGAAGCTCTACGTCTTCCGGCACAATTTTATAGCTTAATAAACCAATTTCTTAACTCTGGTATGGAAACAGACAACGCTGGCCCTCGGTCGAAATGAGTTTTATAGCAACAGCATTCAAAAAGGTAGATGAGTAAGAATTGTGTGTAGTTTGTCCACGGAAACCATCCGGAAAATCAAAATCCCTCAAAGTCACTCGATGGGAACCAGTTTAAAGGATATTACGATAGAGTACTTTGTGCTTAAAGGGAATATAGGAAATGCCCCTTCTAGTTGTACAAGGGAAAAATACCTGAGCTTCCAATGTACGCCTATAACGAAGTTCGGAAGGGCAGTTGCTGACTGGAACCCGACAGAACATGGATGTTGGACTCAGTTTCCCGAACGACAAGGGCGTTTTTTGAGACAGAAAATGCATGCCCTTGAGCTACTCGGTACTCGCAGAGTACTGTGCTAAGTGCAAGTAATCATGTCCATGACGGAATACCTTACTTAACGGGAGCAGCTTGTCATTACATCACTCAGTCCTTTCATAGACTGAACCTGCAATTTCACGCAGTAGACAGTTTAACGCCGGAATCTTGGCTTCAGTGAACATAAAATGAACGTTAGATTGAAACAGCTGTTGTTGTTGTCGTCACCCTCGGTCCCCCATAACCCGTCTCAGTAGTGTTTTCGCCCTTGTTTTCATTCCAGTTTTCGGAGCAAACGGAAGCAAAGAGCGAAAAGTGGGGAGATTTATCTCATTTAATGCGCTGACCTATTTCCATCCAACAATATTGTATCCGCTGGGCACATTTATCGGCGACTGCCTACAAAATCAGCAAGTTCACCTGATTAGTCAGTGTCAACATTTGTTTTTATTTTCGTCCTATTTTTATGAACGTATCGCTGCAGTTAAACCCTGTTTGAAACACAGTGCATTGATCGTTTCCACACATATAAAGCAGGCATATGGTCTCAACCACTGCATCGTCTCACCTATGTTTCATCACACCATCCAAAGCACTAACGCAGAGCGAAATTATCACATGCAAGTACACGACAGTTACGTTTTTACGTTTTGTTTTGATACCGCCACTTGCTACAAATTATCTTCATTGTTCTAGAGGCGACTGGGCTGCTTTTCCAGAAGCTAGGAATTGCGTGGTATTAAAGCCTATAGTCACCGTTTCTAGCTTTGTTTGCATAGCTGGTAACCACAGCATTTACCTTCATTTAGAATAAGCTCACTTTGTGCTAAAAGTAGTTTCACCGTTAGTTTTAAATTTTTCAGAACTCTGACAGTTGGCAAAACCTCTGCAAACAGTTTGTCAGCCAAATGGCTAGATAATTAATTTTGCATGATGACTATAGGAACATGGATATTCAAACACGTGTTCTCACTACACGGTGGATTATTGAATATCTGAAGCAAATGACGTCAAAAAACTGCTAGTGCTGTTGCCTATTTCTGTCTGTAACATTTATTCAACAGAAGCAGTTCGTTCCACTTTAGCTACATAAACGAATCCAATTAAACGTATGCGTGCCTCCCACGACGTTTGCATGCAGTTGCCTGCGCTTTTATTTCTTGAGGAAAATCCTTTAAGGCTGCAAAAGTACAATGAAGGCTACTGAAGCACCCGATTTGACAAATAGCCATTGGTTGAAATATTTCATAATTAAATCATAAAGACGGTCTATGACAATGTTTCCAAACTCACATGCTCCGGCAATGCTTTAATTTTGTACATCGCACTTACTTTTACTACCACACCCTCGTGGAAAACTTTTTTTAGAATGGAAGACAATATTTGTTAGGTTGTGGCCCATGGGTAGCATTTTGCTTGTGGCAATTACTTCGTCGCGGAAAGTTCATATTGGTTTTTATGCAAAATTAAAGTCTTAGCACGCCACATGATTTCCCGGAGGTCTTTTATCAACACAATTCTCGCATTGCCCATTAGTTCTTCAAATAGACAAGTTGGAGTACCGGCAAAAGAAACAGAAACTAGTCAACCACATCTTTTTGACATCCTGCATACAAGTAAATTAAATATGATGTCGCCCAGACGTAAAGGACAGCTAGGTGTATAATGTAAGACCCCGAAACGATAGCAAAGCTCTAGATGAGAACAATAGAAAATCAGTTTGATTTCAAATATTATATACGATTTACAAAATGGCCTTTTCCCAAATATGAGAGATAAATAAAAAGTTTCCCATTAAAATTGATATGATACCGGAATGGTTTTTGCCGTTGCCGTAGACCTTGCCGTTTTCTGGAGGTAAAGAGATATTTTAAATTGTTTGATCATTTTCGGGCCCCTTTTGTCCGAAGTGTTTGCATCCTTTGCCGCTGACGATAAGATAAATGGACAGTATCGTCACTATCACAGCAATTGTGATTAAAGATACACCGGCTATGAACCCGAGTTGTGGGAGATCGATTTTTGGCTCGGTACTCGGGATATGTCCCGTTGCATCAAGAACATAGCCAAAAGCCCAGCTTGCTGATGCTCCTGCAATCTAAATTTTAGAAAGGTAAAAGAAATACCTATTTAAGACTATTTATTTTAAGTTATTATTCATTTGGTGACGAACTAGTTTTGTGAACATGTCGAAATTTCTTTAAACCAGCATTTCGCTTTTTATTCAGTCCTTCTTTGAAAAGTACTAAAGTCTTTAAATGAATTAATTACCTTTCTTGCAAATTCGATATTTCGCCAACTGCCGTCCTCTTTGAAGCCATAGCCATCCAAAAGGTTTTCAATATAATGTCCATCAAAGCAGTAACTGGCAACATACTTGAGTGTGCTTGGCTTAGTTGTCGCATTCACCTAAATAACAAAATAAATAACACACAACTACAGGTTAAAAATGTTCCGAGCAAAAGTCGTTTATGTTTCGAGAGACAAATGGTTTATGGCGAGCAGGTTGCCCTTTATGTGGTCATATTCGACAGATATGTGAAACAGTAGAATGTCGTTTATTGGCTTTTGGGAAAATGCCATGGAACAATGCTGGCAATTTCTGAGTAGTCAGACTGCACCGGACAGAATAGAATGCCCAACTGGTACAATACCGCAGAATATGAAAAAAATTGGGAAACAGTAGCTTATGTAGCCCCACTCATTAATCCCTACAACCTGCATGTTTTCCTAGGAAAGCGATATTTATCGGGTTTTATGGGCGGGAAATTAGGACACGCAGTGAAATATACTTTAATAGGTTTCGGATTTTATGGGCGCGAAATTAGGACACGCAATGGAATGTACTTTAATAAATGGTAAATGCATTGTTATTTTACTGTATTTAGTATTGTTGTTGATTTATATCTGCAGGTTTTCCTAATCTGCATTATCGTTTAACTTA